AAAAAAAAAAAAAAAAAAAACCAAAAAGATGACAACTATGGCTGGAGGTGGTAGCTCAGGAATGTGCATTGGGAGGCCACAGCAGGAGGGTCACATGAAGCCAGGAATCTGAAACCAGCCTGGGCAACATAGTGAGATCTTATCTCTACAAAAAAAAAGAAAAAGGTAATTAGCCAGACGTGGCGGTACTTATAATCCCAGCTGTTCAGGGAGGCTGAGGTGGAAGGATTGCTTGAGCCCAGAAATTTGACGCTGCAGTAAACTATGATGGCACCACTGCACTCCAGCCTGGGTGGCAGAGCGAGATACTATCTCTTAAAACAAAAAAAGGGAGAGACAAGTAAGCTCCTCATGGAGAACTTTGAATAAGAGGTAACTTGTGATCAGCAGCTTGAAAGAAGTGACGGCATGGAAGTTGGCAAGAGAAGAGAAGAGCAACAAGACGTTGGCACATAAGCCGTGACTCTGCTCTGCTCATCAGATGCTAGATAAATATAACACTGTCACTGGGACAGCCCAGCAATGCATGGGGAGGCATGCTGTCACCTAACACGCATCACTACGGATGTGGGTGAGAACATGCCTGCAACCAGTGAAGATGAACAGCTGAACAGAAGGCACCAAACTTACAACTGCGGTTTATAGACTTCATTCTACAGTAGTAAGAAGGCTTCAAGCTCATGGAACCATGGTATTGGGCGACAGCTGGTAATGCAAGTCTTGGAACTAAGACAAGATTTCTTTTTCTTTTTTTGTGGCGGGGGAGGTGGAGCAGAGTCTGGCTTCACTGCCTAGGCCTGGAACGCAGTAACAAGATCTCGGCTCACTGCAGCCTCCACTTCCTGGGTCCAAGCGATTCTCCTGCCTCAGCCTCTCCAGTAGTTGGGATTACAGGCACGTACCACCATGCCTGACTAATGCTTTTGTACTTTTAGTAGAGATGCGGTTTCACCATGTTGGCCAGGCTGGACTCAAACTCCTGACCTCAAGTGATCTACACGCTTTGGCTTTTGAAAGTGCTGGGATTACAGGCGTGAACTACCAAGCCCAGCTAAGATTTCTTAAATAATCCAAACTTTGAACTATCCACAGTTTCTTCAGGTGTCTCCTGCAGCAGATGGGGACTTAGGAACTACCTGGAGCCTCCATTCTGAGAAAACAGCTTCAGGGGCAGAACCCACACTTGAGAAGCCCAGGCTCCAGCTTCAGTTCCCCTGCAGGAAATATACAGACCTTGAGGGACATCCTCACTCAGGTGCCCACCAGACCTACGGAGCATCCTTATTTCTCAGGGTGATTCCTGGAGAAACAGATAGGAGGATTGATGACAAGGAGAATAAATTAGAGCCTGGGCTTTGTGCAAACAAGAGTAAGCCACAATAAGAAAGGGATAATAAAGTTTGCTTGGGAAAATCCTTAAACCAGTGGCGTTACAGAGGCTATTTGCCAAGTGGTACATTGTATCTAGAAAACACTGATGCCTTTAGACTATTATTACACGTCATGGATCTGGGAGCACCTAAAACACTAAATACGGGGGCTGTCAGAGGTGGCAGGGGGATGACAACTCAAAGAACTGAACTCCAGGGCAGGCTGGGATGCTGTGTGTCAGGTTGAAGTTCACAAGTCACAAAGAAGCAGTGATGCTCAGCGCTGAAGCAGACAGGCCTTGCTGCTGAGCTACCTGGGCTGGAACTGAGGCTCCACCACTTCCTTCCCGTGTGATCTCAGGTAGCAGAGCAAGGAGGACTACCCTGAGGCTCAGGCCTGATCTGCGATATGGGGACAAAGATACAGACCCCCCAGAATATCTGTCAGGACTGAGCATGACCCGTGCAAAGCCCCTGACACCTGGTTGGTGCTCACTAAGGAGGTGCTGTAGTTATTATAAGCATAGGTCCCAGTGCCCCCCTTCCTAACTATACTCCACAAATCCCTAGGAAGTCAAGAGAGCCTCCTGAAGGTGACTCCTGGGAGCCTGATGGAGATGGAAGCTTCAGCAGAAGGACTATAGCCCTATTTTGATCAAAGCAGCTTTCCTTTAACCAGTTATAGGTATAGGGCTTGCATAGAAGATTTCAGAAGCCAGTGAAATTTCAGGGCTTTAAGACAGAAGAAGCACTTCAAATATTCATCCTCTTGTTTATTAATAATAATAATAGTAAAGCCTCCAGAAAGCAAGGAACTCACCTAAACTCATTCGCCAGGTCAGAGGCAGGGAAAGGGCAGCTGCTGGCCCTGAATCTCCCACACAGGCAGTTAAAGGCGAGGGTTATTGGATTCGTGATCCGAGGTCTCATCCTCTGGACTCTCACACTATGGACATGGGGGCTTGGCATCCCAAATGGAAGTCTTCACACCTACAGACTGGTGAAAAGAACCAAAGGGATGTCAAGTGGAGAGTCTTATTCCAGGCAGAAAGGAGTGAGTCCCTGACTTCCCTAAAAAGAGATAGTCTTCACCAGACCCACATTCAGAGCTGCGATGGGCTGGGCTGGACAGGGGAACTAGGCCCTGGGGTCCCTAGAGGGCTGACACTCCAGGAAATCTAGAGGGATCAAAGAAAACCTCGGATTAACCAGCGCCAGAATTGAGTGAGGTAAGGAACTAAGGAAAAGAACCAGTCCCTTCCTTGTCAAGAATTCATACCTCCCAGCAGACCGTAGGGTCTTACTCAAAGTCACAATGCGTGAGTCTCCATCTGCCTAAAAGGTAGGCCTGCCCAAGCAGTTACGTGACTTCTCCCCAGGCAAAAGGAGAGAAGAAGAAGACTTCTCAGAAGTATAAATGCTCTTAAGTGACCACAGGTCAAATGTCAACTGAAGCATCAGCCCAGGCGAAGGAAGGAAACTCCAGCATCAAAGAAAAAAAATTAATCCTCTGTGTCCATGTGTTCTCATTGTTCAACACCCGCCTATGAGTGAGAACATGTGGTGTTTGATTTTCTGCTTTTGTGTCAGTTTGCTGAGAATGATGGTTTCCAGGTTCATCCATGTCCCTACAAAGGACACGAACTCATCGACACTGGGACCTGTTGGGGGGAAATAGGGGAGGGACAGAGTGGGGTGGGGAGTTGGGGGGAGATAGCATGGGGAGAAATGCCAGATATAGGTGAAGGGGAGGAAGGCAGCAAATCACACTGCCACATGTGTACCTATGCAACAATCTTCCATGTTCTTCACATGTACCCCAAAACCTAAAATGCAAT